AATCAGCAAAATAACAAATCTAAGGATGCACAATTTGCACAAAAAATTAATGAGGTAAAAGATAATGAAATCGCTGCTGAAAATTCAAGTATGAGGAAAAGTGATAAGCACATTCCTGGGGAACTTCATGAAGCTATACAGGCGATAAAATCTGATGCGCAACTTGAAAATTTGGCAATTGATGAAGAGGAAAAAATTGCAGAATCAGAACGTGGTAATTTGAAACCTTTGGAAGCTATCGATTTGCAAGTTGTGATGAGAATGCAACAGGGAATTGGAACACAATTGCACAAAAAAAATCAATTTCTACGTGTATTGGTTCCTCGGCAAGTCGAAGTAAATCTCCACGTCTTGGAAATAAGCAATAGGTAACTACTAATCTAGTAGTGCAATCTAATGGATCAAAGGACATTGTTTGTACAAATCCGTTTGAAGCACTAGGGGTGGAGAAGGAATTAGAGTTAATTGATTCTAATCCCTCGAAGGAGAAAACTTTGGTTCGAGCCGATCCTGATAGTAATATACAATCAGTTAGAACACCAATTGGAGTATGTAGCATGCGGACCGAAAAAGATGGTAATGTTATGAGTCCTACAGTAGTTAAGGCTATTCAAAAAGTCAGGCTGCCATGTTACTCAAGCAAAATTCAGCGATCAAGCCACCCATGGTCACATTGAGCATCTGCTATCATGAGGTCCCTTCCCAAAATTTGGATTCACCTGATAAAATTTTGGCGAAAGGTATGTCACCACTCTCTCAAGCTAATTTTACAAAAGATTTGTTTATTTCGAAAGAAAAACAACAAGGGGTGATGAGTACTCCTAGGTGGGCTGATTTGGTTGATGAAGAAGAGCATGTTTCACCCCCTTTTTTGAATAGAAAATTGAGTCCACAAGCTCTGGAATTTGTACCTAAAAGTACAATTGCAAAGAAGAATGAACAAGAGGCCTTAGCATCAGGATTTAGTCCAATTAATGCTTATGCTAGTGATTTGGGCGATGATTCTTTTGATGAGGATGAGGATGAGGAAGATAATATGTTGGACATATGCTTTGATAAAGTGGCTAGAGATGGGGATATCTCACCTAGGCATCAAAGAAGTGGAAGCAACGAAAACAAAAAGAAGACACATGGAAGACAACACAGTTGGGATGGTAAAGTGACAGGAGAGTTTGTTCCAAGGCACCTGCCGATGCGACTGGCAAAGCAAAATCATATGACAGTGTCAATAGCTTCAACAAAATCCAATACATCCAAAAAGAAATGACGAAGTATTAAATTTTGTTGGACATATTTGAAGAAGAAGACAAGAGGAAAATACTTCAGGTTACTTTAGATGGGCTATCTATCATTTTTAATTCACACATTTGTAAAAGTAAGTTTGAGGTTGATAACTCAACTTTCTTCTTGGATTTTATATTTGTGCATTATTTAAGCATTTTCATTTGTAATATCATCATAGAGTGTATTACGAATTATGTGATGATAAAAAAAAAAAAGGACTTAAATCATGTCTTTAATTATTCTTCATTTTTTTCCTCACTTGACTTAGTCAAGCAATAGTTTCTCTCATTGGAAATTTCTTACAATTTTTGCAGAATTTTTTTCTACATAACGGGACCAATTTCACATCATCTTGCGTTAGTAACACACAACAGAGATAGTTTATGACTTCGAAATGAACACAACATCTAGAGAAAATTAGGACATAGGGAGTATTATTTTGTTAAGTCTTCTCCGTCCTCTTACAAGTCTTGTGGAACACTACAAAATATGAGTAACAAGTTGTTAGAAGTGAGTAGTACTCATCATGTAATTCAATTGTTCATCAGTCCCAATTCATCATAATCTTTTTTTTTTCCTCTAGTCTTAGTGGAAATTGGCTCAAAAGGCTTACAAGTCATCGTCCGCTAGTTACAATACTGTATCACTTTTTTCCTAGGTGGAATCGAATATTGATGGATTTTCCCGATTAACTTAAAAAATGTAAAAACTATTGTGTAACCTAACAAGTTTTGAAAATAGCAGAAGAGACAACTAATTACTAACTTGGAATTTTGACCTTTAATGATTGTATAGAAAAATTGCATAAAAATTTATTGCATTCTCATAATTGGATTCTCTATTAACTGTTCTCATAGTTGGTTCAATGACGCGTCTTGACTTTTATGATTTTATAAATTTAGTGGAAAAATTACACTAAAATTTATTGCATTCATACAACTTGGTTTTGTTTGATTAAAGTGTCCCTTCTTGTCATAGGGAAGATGAAATAGAGTAACATCATGTCTTTATTGCTCATTTATTATTATTTTTTCTCAATTGACTTGGTCATACAATAGTTTCTCTCTTTGAAAAGTATTGTGGAAAACAGAAGAAGAGATGTTGATGGAAAGTTGGACAGGGATGACTTAAAATAGGAGTTCAAATTTCTACTAATTCATCTATACTATCTTAAAAGAATGTTAAATTACTAAAATATTTTCAACTTAAAACACTTAATTTAGTATATTTTCTATATTTTATAATATATTATATTTAATTAATTAATTTAAAATTTAGTGTACTACATGATTTGGCATTCACGTGCATCAAAACTAGTACTACTTTAAAAATATAAACTCTCTAACTTAAATGTTAGATTACTATAATATCATCAACTAAAAATACTCAATTTAGTATATCTTCTATATTTTATATTTATATTTATTTATTTGTTTGTTTATATTATATTAAAACATATATTTTTTTCACATTGAAGAGTTGTCACTTCCCCGATGAGTTGTGACTTTTTTGAAGAATTGTGACTACTAAAAAATCAGTTGCTCTATTATGATCAGAATTTCTGTTGTGGATATTGATATTCCTTTTTTAAAAACGAGAAAAATGTGTAGACTCACACGTCCTACGTGACATAATACACATAGGAAGTCATATAAGACACAAAATTGCTATGTCGGATAAATGTGTCTATTAGTTCAAATTTATACAAATTTAGTGTCTACTTGTGCACACTAAAAGTTGAAGAGCATAGATATTAGTTGAAGTCAAATTAAATGTCATATTTATTTATTATATAAACTTTTTTTTTTTTTTGGATTTATTATCTAAACTTTATAAAATGATCAAACCATTTTATCGTAATCTCTAGTAATTGATAAATCACACAAACATATAATGATGCTTCATCTACATGTAATGTATAAAAACTGAAAATCTGTACTACTCCACTTGAACTGTATCACATTTGTTCTTTTCCCACCTGTAGTCTTTGTGGAAATTGGCTTATTAAAGACTTTGGCTTAAAAGAACAAAATAAAATTCCACACAGTATTATATTTATAAATGTTAAGTAACATATTTTTCTATTTTTAGTTAGGAATTATATTTATAAATGTATGTCTCTGAATTATCATATCATATATTTATATAAAAGAGAACCCTAGGTCCGCGTACGTGGCGCCACCACAAGCAAGAATTTCCTTTTAAATTTGTTTATTTCCAAAAATACCCTTCCCCTTTCATGAAAAAATGTGACTTTTATGAAGAGTTGTGACTTTTATGAAAAATTGCGATTATGAAAGGTTGTTCCCTTTCTGAAGGGTTGTAACTTTTCCAAAGAGTTGTGACATTTCCGATAAGACACAATAATTATTTGTTCACACTATCCTTTTTGTCTATAAATAGAGGGATTTCCTCTCATTTTAAAACAACGAAAATTCTGAACTTCTTCTTCTTCTTTTGCATAATTAAATATTCATGTACTTTGCTCCTGTTGAGTGACTCACTGACTCCATTGTTTTTGTATCAATACACTCGTGAATAGAATCGTTCCATCCTGAGAGGATTTATTCCTTTAAACCTCGGGTACTAGAGGGGAATAATTTCCTTAAGGGAACATTGTGCATTCAGTGGGCTCAATTTTTTCCTATCTGTTTCATTCTATTGTTATAGATCCTACTATATTTTTTATAGTCATTAATTTATGCTTATGATATTAATTGTTGTTTTTCAGTACATGTTTACACTTTGTTGCTTATGTTTTTGTAAAGTTATTATTATAAGTATTTGTTAGTGCAGATAAAGAATATTTATATATTAGAAAATTTAATATCTCATGTCGATGTTCATCTAATTTCCCAAAAATATCAAATAGTAACAGTTCCTAGAGGCAACTCCTTTTCAGGTGAAATTCCTGATGTTTTCTCTAACCTTCAAGAGCTACGTACTTTACATCTTTCTTATAACAGCTTCATCGGTTCGTTTCCCGCTTTCAATTCTAAGTTTGACACATCTTGACTACTTAGGATTGTCGAGTAATTCCCCTATCTGGCCCACTGCCTAGCAACCAAAGCATGCTTCAAAAGCTAACTTCTGTGGATTTGTCATACAACTCACTGAATGGTACCATACCATCTTGGGTGTTTAGCCTACCTGTGCTACCTTTATTGTTTCTGGATCATAACCAATTTAGTGGACTAGCCGATGAAGTGATCAAAACAAACCCAACATTAGAATACCTGTATTTAAATAATAATCAACTCAGCGGTTCTTTTCCTCAATCACTTGTGAATCTCACAAACCTCAAAACACTTGGAATTTCATCAAATAACATCACCATTGATGAGGGAATGAATATCACCTTTCTTAGCCTATCATTCTTATTCTTATCATCTTGTGAACTGAAGGATTTTCCACACTTCTTGAGAAATGTAAAGACACTTGTGTACTTGGATATTTCTAACAATAAGATTTATGGTCAAATCCCTAACTGGTTTAGCGGCATGAGGTGGGACTCATTGTGGTTCCTAAACCTTTCTCATAATTCATTAACAGGCAACCTACCACAATTTCGTTACGATAACCTACAGTATCTTGATCTGAAATTTAACTCCCTTCAGGGTGCACTACCTTTATCCATTTGTAACATGAGCTCACTTACCTTATTAGATTTATCACACAACTACTTCAGTGACTTGGTTCCACATTGCTTGGGAAGCATGGTTGTACTAACGGTGCTGGACTTAAGAAAGAACAATTTCACAGGGAGTCTTCCCCCATTATGTGCACACAACACTTCATTGAGTACCATTTTCATAAATGGTAATCGATTTGAAGGACCTGTTCATGTGTCGTTGCTCAATTGTAATGGTCTACAAGTCCTTGATGTGGGGAACAATGCTATAAATGACACCTTTCCAGCTTGGCTCGGAATTCTTCAAGAGCTGCAGGTCCTTATATTAAAGTCGAACAAGTTCCATGGACCTATAACTACGTGTCAGACTAAGTTTTGCTTTCCCAAGTTGCGAATTTTTGATCTTTCTTGTAATGATTTCAATGGCTCACTTCCAGTAAAAGTTTTTGGACGCTTCAAGGCAATGATCAAACTAGATGATGAAGACACAAGAGAGATCAAGTACATGGAATCTACGTTATATTTGTTATTTGTCAGATCGTATGAGGATTCAGTGAGTTTGGTAATTAAAGGGCAGGATATTGAGCTACAAAGAATCAGCACAATTATGACAACCATAGATCTCTCAAGCAACCATTTTGAAGGTGTTATTCCGAAAGCACTAAAGGATCTCAGGTCACTTTGGCTACTCAATTTATCCCATAACAATCTCATAGGTCATATTCCAATGGAATTGGGGCAATTGAATACACTTGAAGCTTTAGATCTCTCCTGGAATCGGCTCACTGGAAAGATTCCGTAGGAACTGACAAGAATGAACTTTCTGGCCTTCTTAAACCTCTCTCAAAATCATCTCGTTGGACCAATTCCTCAAGGTCGACAATTCAACACATTTGAAAATGACTCGTATGGTGGCAACCTTGATTTATGCGGTCTTCCTTTAAAAAAGAAATGTGGAACAAGTGATTCATCGCATGTTCCTCAACCATTGGAGTCTGAAGAAGATGAAAGCGAGTCATATTTTTTTAGTGGATTTACGTGGGAATCAGTAGTCATAGGCTACAGTTTCGGACTCATTATTGGAACTGTCATGTGGAGTCTCATGTTTAAATATCGTAAGCCAAAATGGTTGGTGCAATTTTTTGATGGACTCATGCCTCACAAAAGAAGAAGGCCAAAGAAGAGACCTCAGAGACGAAGGTCTTAATTAGTGAACTGTTCTGTTTTTGTCATTTTTAATTTTTTATTTGTTGTTTGTAGATGTTAGAAACATAATTATATGTGTGTTATTTTAGTATCAATGGTTATTCAAGTTATGTTAGTTTGTTTCTGTTTTAAATTGACAAAAGTGATCTACACAGCCACTCATTGGCTATGTTACTTAGATTTTTCAAAATGTCAACGGGTACGTGTTGGATTCTTCAAAAGTTGTGTATTTTTTAAGGAACCAACATGGGTGCGACATCATCATATTTTAGGACAGAGCTCATTAATACAACAAAATTGGAAAAAACAGTGCAGTAAGCATATAGAGTTTGGTTCATGATTGAAATTAGTTTATATTTGTGAAAATTGATGTAGAAGAATACTCAAAACTACAGAAGTGGCTAATAATTTTGTGGCACTTCATCCTTAAAATGTTCTCTAACTCGAACAAGAAGAAAGTCGTATTTTGCTAGTGGATTCAGTGGTCATAGTTGTTGTAACTGTCATGTGGCACCTCATGTTTAAAGATGGTAAGCTAAAATGGTTTGTAGAATTTTTTGAAGGCGTCATTCTGCACAAAAATAGAAGACGAAAGAAGAGAGCTTTGAGATGACGGATTTAATGGAATATTGGAAGAGCCAACTTGTCAAGTAATATCCATTGTTGGAATAATCCCATGAATATTATTCTTTGAATTTTGTAATTGAGACAAGATATGGAGAATAATGTGTCTATTCCTCAAAGAGTACAATGATATAAATACATGTAAAGAGAAATCTAACTATGACAACTAGATATTCAGAGCAATCTAACTATGGTAACTAGATATTCAGATCCTAGAAAATCATCTATATTATCTATATTTATTATACAACTATGATTCTATAACACTCCCCCTCAAGCTAGAGCATAGATATTCGTCATGCCCATCTTGTTACAAAGATAATCAACTCGAGTCCCGTTCAACGCTTTTGTGAACAAATTAGCTAGTTGCTCTCCTGTCTTCACATAGCCAGTGGAAATCACATTTTCCTGAATCTTCTCACGAATAAAATGACAGTCGACCTCAATATGTTTAGTTCTTTCATGGTACATCGGATTTGAGGCAATATGAAGAGCAACTTGATTATCACACCAAAGTTTTGCTGGTGTATGATGCTTTAACCCAATTTCAGTTAAAAGGTGATGTATCCACATAATCTCACACGTAGACTGTGACATAGCTCTGTACTCGGATTCTGCACTAGATCGAGATACAACATTTTGCTTCTTACTTCTCCATGATACTAGGTTTCTTCCAACAAAGACACAATGACCTGTAGTACACCTTCTATCAATTTTGGATCCAGCCCAATCAGCATCTGCAAAACACTCAACACGAGTATGGCCGTGTTTACTATACAATACGCCAAGTCCAGGAGCTCATTGTAGGTAACATAAAATATGTTCCAAAGCTTCCCAATGTTTAATCGTAGGTGCAGACATAAATTGGCTAACAACACTTACTGCAAAAGCAATATCTGGATGAGTCACAGTAAGGTGCTTTAGCTTCCCAACAAACCTTCTATATCTCTCTAGATCATTTAGAGGATCGCCATCATCTTTCATAAGATGCACATTTGGAACCATTGGAGTACTGTAAGGTTTGGTTGCCAACTTTCCAGTGTCTGCAAGCAAGTCAAGAATATACTTTCTTTGAGACAGAAAAATTCCCTTATTTCTTCTATTTACTTCTACTCCTAAAAAGTATTTCAACTGGCCTAAGTCCTTCATATGAAACCTAGTATGTAGGAAAGACTTGAGGGAAGAGATCCCCACATAATCATTTTCTGTGATGACAATGTCATCAACATATACAACAAGGAGGATAGTTCCAGCTAATGACTGTCCGTAGAAGACCGATTGATCACATTTGCTCATTTTCAACCCAAAATCTTGAACTACCTCACTGAATTTGCCAAACCAAGCCCTAGGACTTTGCTTCAAGCCATACAAAGACTTCTTCAAATGACAGACTTTCCCATACTCCCCCTTAGCAACAAAACCAAGCGGTTGCTCCATATCACTTCCTCTCGAAGATCACCATGAAGGAATGCATTTTTGATATCCAACTGATGCATAGGCCAATTCTCAGAAGTAGCTAGAGAAATGAATAAACAGACAGAAGTGAGTTTGGCAACTGGAAAGAAGGTGTTCGAATAATCTACCCTATATGTTTGAGCATAGCCTTTAGCCACAAGTCTGGCCTTAAGCCTTGCTACAGAACCATCTAGATTCACTTTAACTATAAAGACCCACTTACATCCCACTGGTTCCTTTCCCTTGGGTAAGTCCACCAAATCCCATGTATGATTTTCCTCTAAGGCATGCATTTCATCAAGCATTGAGTCAGACCATCCAGGATGATTTAAAGCCTCATTCACTGTTTTGGGTACAGAGATGGAGTCTATAGAGGCAATCAAAGATCTAGATCTGGAGGATAAGTGACCATATGAAACAAAATTAGCAATGGAATATGTGGATTTGCAAGTACGTGTACCTTTGCGAAGAGCAATAGGAAGGTCAAGATTTTCTGGAGGATCAAGCGGCAGAACTTGTGCATGACAAGTATCATCATTCTCTCTCCTCCTTGAGTAGATTTGAACAGCTGGTCTTGTTACCGTAGATAGAGCAGGTACCAAAGGTAGAATAGTCGGGTTATGATCAACAAAAGAACTGGGAGATGAAGGAACAACACCTGATTGTTCTATCACAACACGAGTGACTTGATATACTAACCACTCATCTTCCTCCTCCTGACTTGTAGAAATGGGAGGTGCATAAAAGAATGGCGTAGTCTCTAAAAATACCACATCATTTGACGTAAGATATCTACCAGTTTCAGTACAATAACACCGATACCCTTTTTGAAGACGAGAATAGCCTAGAAAAACACACTTCAAAGCCTTGGGATCTAACTTAATAACAGATGGCCGAACATCTCGAACATAACATGTGCTTCCAAATACCTTAGGTTCCACCGGAAATAGTGGCTTATTTGGAAAAAGAACATTGTAAGGTGTATTACTGACAAGCACAGTAGATGGTATGCGATTAATCAGAAAACATGTTGTAGAGACCGCATCTGCCTAAAACTGTTTAGGGACCTTCATTTGAAACAACAGTGCCCGAGCTGTCTCAAGAAGATGCCTATTCTTCCTCTCAGCAACTCTATTTTGAGAGGGTGTATCAACACATGAAGACTGGTGGAGAATACCTTGTTGTCTCATATATGATCCAAACAATTCTGACATGTATTCTTTGGCGTTATCACTCCTTAGAATACGTACCGAAACATTGAATTGAGTTTTCACTTCAGCATAGAAGGCAAAATGAGTAAACACTTCAGAGCGACTCTTCATAAAATAAATCCAAGTCATTCGAGAGAAATCATCCACAAAAGTGACAAAATACTTGTGCCCTGTTTTAGAAACCACAAGACATGGTCCCCAAATATCAGAATGAACCAACTCAAATGCCGACTCAACTCGCTTATTAACCCTTGGAGGTAACGAGATACGATGATGTTTTGCAAATCGGCATGACTCACACTCCAATGAAGAAATATTTTGAAACTGAGGACATAGCTTCTTCAACAGAGGCAGAGAAGGACGACCTAATCTACAATGTGCTTCAAATGGAGACATGATAGTAGAGCAGGCAACCAATCGAGGCTCCCGTTCATCAAGAATGTAGAGATCATCAGAAATATGTCCTTTACCAATAACCTGATTCGTCTTAAGATCACAAATCAAACAATGATCGGGAAAAAAATGAGATATAACAATTAAAGTCCCTGGTAAGTTTATTGACAGAACATAAATCAAATTAAAGGCCAATTTTGGTAGACTGAATACAGATGACAGTGTAATGGAGGAGGTTGGTTTAACAGTCCCAAATCCAACACTGTTACAAGTTGATCCATCAGCTACAATAACCGAAGAGGGTGCATTATGTAATTGAAAGCTAGAAAAAATATTAGGATTACCCGTCATATGATTTGTCGCACCTGAATCGATCACCCATTTATTTAGAGAGGTGAGAAGACATATTTTATCTGCCTCAACAAAGGTATTAACTGAAGTGGATTCATTTTGCTGAACAGAAGCAACAACTTGAGATCTTTGACTTTTGTAATCAATCATTTTTCCCAAAATAATAGATCTGAAAACTTAACTAGAGCAAAATTCACACCAACTGAAGCAATCCAACAAAACTTTCCAAAATTTGAAGGAGAAAGAAAGGGAGCAGGGACCACATATACAACAACCCAAACCAATGACGTATCACAGCATTCAGCTGTCCCACCGTGGCTGTCAAAAATTACAAATCTCCCAAACAAAAGTACTTATTTTACAATCAACCAGATTTGAACCAAACAAACCAAATGTGTCAGAATATTCTACTCCCACAACCAAATTATTATAGCTGCTCAAATGAAACAAACCATATTTCCAGCAACAAAGAACACCTATAAATAGGGAATAACAGATCGAGAAAGATAAACCTTGGATGATGTCAAATTTATCCAAAATCTGAATATTTTGAACAACGTAC